GATGTGTCCCCCAAAAAACAAAAAAAAGGGGGGAAAAGAAAATGACACAGCACAATTATAACAAAAAACGTGCAAATTTTATTTCATTCTAATTGAAAGCTTTGTATTTTATTTATTTATTATTATTATTAAACTTTTTTGGGGGGTCATACCTGGCCATGCTCAGGAATTACTCCTGGCTCTGCACTCAGGAATTACTCCTGGCAGTGTTTGGGGGGACCATATGGGATGCCAGGGATTAAATCTGGGTTGACCACATGCAAGGCAAATGCCCAACCCTCTGCATTATCTCTCCTGAAAGCTTTGTACTTGAAAGATACTACCATGAAAGTACAGACAGTGAAATCTGAGAACATACTTGTAAATCTTACTGGATAAGAACCTTATATCTATAATAAATATTTACAATTCAAAAATGGAGAGCAAATAACCCATTTTAAAAAATGAGTAAGTTGGGGCTTGCCTTACACATGGCCAACCTGCATTGGATCCCCAGCACCACTTCTGGCCCCCTGAGCCCTTCCAGTAGTGATCCCTGAGTGCAGAGCCAGGAAAAAGCCCTATGCACTGCCACGTGTGGCCCCAAAACAAAAACATAAATGCTCAGTAGCAGAATGCTCTGCATATATGACTGAGTTATTTAAAAGTTTTTAATTTTGGGGAGACCACATCTGGTAATGCTCAGGGGTGTTACTCATGAATCACTCCTGGCAGTGCTTAGGGGACCACTTGAGATGCTGGGGATGGAACCTGGGTTGGCTGCATGCAAGACAAGTGCCCTCCCTGCTGCATTAGCACTCTGGCCCAAGTCCCTGAGTTTGATCATTGGGAAACCATTCATCCCACATCCCATAAGTGGAAAAAGTAGGGGCTGGAGCTATAGTACAGTCGGGAGGGCATTTACCTTGCATGTATCTCACCCAGGCATCCCATATGGTCCTCTGAGCACCACCAGGAGTAATTCCTGAGTGTACAGCCAGGAATAACCCCTGAGCACTGTTGGGTGTTACCCCACCAAAAAAAATTAGATAAAATTTAAAATATTTTTTCCATGATCCAGAGACTCACAAATGAATTTCAGAAGAGAGAAGCATGACGCAGAGATGCCTCCGGAACCCAATTACTTAAAATTTTAGAATTTCAGGAGTATATAGCCGCGAAAGCAGCCGTGCAACATCTCATACTATTCACAACAAGCAATAAAAAATAAATTATTTAGCATCTGCCTGTGGGGCAGGCTTGAGTGGTAGAAAATTCAATGGTGGTGGGAAGGTATAACGGTGATGGGTGGGACTGGTGTTGAAATATTGAATGTAATCACTTACGAACAACTTTATGAAATAAAATTGAAAATTTTTTTTTCCGTGAAGAATTTAAGTAGCTAATAAAACTATGAAAAGATGCTGGGCATTAGTTACCAGGGAAATGCAAGTCAGAACCTCAGTGAAATATTTTAAATCACTTGAATGGATGTAATCAAATGGAGGGTAAAGATATAGAGAAATTAGAACCTCCTTTTGTTGATGACAAAGTAAGATTGTGCAACTACCGTAGAAAACAATTTAGCAGTATCTGAAAATGTTAGAGGGCCAGAACCAGAGGTAGGGTATAAAATAGCCTTGCTCCAGCCATTTCCTGTTCTGAGTGAATGACCTTGTGACTGGAAATTAGTTTTCACAGCACCAAGTGATTCATTGCCAAGGGGGAATGGTAGAATGTTGTGACTGAAAATGTTTGTTTTCCGGGAGATACAAGAGAATGTTTCTTTGGGAGAAGATTCTTTTACATTGTAATTATTGTCAGCACTAGAACTCCCACTCAGATGGTTAGAAATCTTTGAAATTCAAAATAATGGATTTATTTTTATGCCTCTCTGGTACAAAAATATGTAAGTGAACAGATATCCTAGAGGTGGATAAACAGTCAAGCATATGAAAAGAGGAATTTAATTCAAATTTTAAAATATCGTGTTTTTTTTATAGCTTGGCATAAAACTTGAATATGTAATAAATATTTTCCTTTAGATAACAGTTGCTTATAAAAAACAGTCATCTGTGTGTTTTTGTTTGGCAAGGACACAACTATAACAAGACCTCAGTGTACAGAATAACTATGTTATAAATTTACCTTTAGCATTTGGAATACATTTCCTTGGAAATACTGATTTGCACATGAATATGATCATATAGTCACTAACAAGTTTAGGGATTCCAAGCTTTATGCCAGGTTCCTGGACTAATCCATAAAAATAGGGCCGGAGAGATAGTAGAGTTTAAGGTTTTTGCCTTGTATGTAGTGGACACTGTTCAAATCCAGCACGTCTTAGGGGTTCCCTGAGCCCTGCCAGGATTGATCCCTGAGTACAAAGCCAGGAGTAAGCCCTGAGCACTGCTGGGTGTGGCCCAAAAACCAAAAAAAAAAAAAAATTTTTTTTTACATTGTGTATACTTGTGTAACATATAATACATTCTCAGCTTGTACTTATTTTAGCTAGTTTTTAGTTTCTTATTAGTATAACTGAGGCCAGGCGAGCGACTTTTGGGCCACATCTGCCTGTGCTCAGGTCTTGCTCTCAGATAGTTGGGAAATGCTGGTCAAGGTCACCATCGTGCTGGGTGAAAATGGCCAAATTTTTATTTCCTCCCACCTGACATCCCTTTCTCTGTGTGTCTGTTCTTGCTTGTCCCCGTCTAGTTGGGAAATGGTTTTGTGGGCTTCTGGGGAGATAGAGAACTGGCTGGCTTTGGGGCTTGGAGATCACTCCTGGCAGTGCCCAGGGGACCAGATGTGCTGCCAGTGGTTAAGCCAGAGTCATCTGCGTGAAGTGCAAGTGTCCTGAGCCCTATATTATCCCTCTGGTCTCTCTGTTAGTATAACTTTTTTTTTGCTTCGTTTTGTTGTTGTTGGGGAGCCATACCTGGTGATGCTGAGGCTTACGCCTGGCTCTGCAGTCAGGGACCATGGAGGTGCTGGCGCGCAAAAGGCAAGCACCCTCCTGGCGTTTTTTTCCTGGCCCGGTTTTATATCATATTGTGTAGGCCAGATTTTCTCAACCTTTTCTCAGTGGACTTTGAACCTTTTCTGACCTTTTTCCTTTATGGGGCCCTCCTGTCCTTTTGGTTCATCCCCTAGTCTTGTGAAATGACCTCTCAGTTACACAGTTGTTTTTTAAATCTGTGATCCCCTTGTGACATCTCGGCGGCCCAGGGGACTGTGTCTCTCAGTTGGGAAATGCTGGTCTAGGCCACCATGGTGCCAGGTGAAAATGGTCAGCTTTTTATTTCCTCCTGCCCCACACCCCTTTCTCTGTGTGTCTGTTGTGGCTTGCCCCCATCTAGGGTGGAAAATGGTGCTGTGGGCTTCTGGGGGGATAGAGAACTGGCTGGCTTTGGGGCTTGGAGTAGTTCTGAGTGTTTTTCCTCACTTCAGCCTTTTTGAGGCCACTGCCTGGAGCAAGTGCCTCTGGCTGCAAGTTGACCCTGCGATAAAGGCCAGAACTCTCTTTGCTTTTCATTGTTTGTCCCCACCATTTATAGTAATCAGGTTGATTTTTCTTTTCTACTGCCCGCTGTAACAAATTACCCTAGAGTAAAACAATATAAATTCGTCAACTTTGGGTAGACAGGTTAAAAGTCTTACGCAGTTTCACTGAGCTAAAAAAAAAATCAGTGTTTCTCAGGGCTGTGTTCCTTTCTAGAAGGTCACAGAGAGAATCTATTTCCTTGACTTTTCAAGCTTCCTTGATTAATGATGATTTGTCCATCTTCAGAGCCAGCGGTGTTGAGACCTCATGTTGTCTCAATCCTACCTACTGTTTTTTTTTTTTTTTTGCTGTGATAGGGATGGAATGCATATTTGGAAGAAATACTTTGCCACTGAACTAGAACTCTAGCTCCTCCACTTACTCCTATCTATCGCTCCTACTTGTAATTATACTGAGCTCACCCAGATCATCCAGAATTATGTCTCTGTTTTAAGGTCAACTGATTAACAGCCTGCCATGTAATATAATAAATATGTTGATATATGAATATTGGGGTGGTGGAATTTTATGTTGCCTAATACTTATTTTGAACAATTATAATTCCAGTAGATAAAAATACTGTATGTGTTGTTCACTGAAGATATTATTCCACCTGTTATTAAAAATGGAACTTGGTGGGGCTGGGGCAATAGCACAGCAGGTAAGCGGTTTGCCACATGGCTGACCCAGGTTCGATTCCCAGCATCCCATATGGTCCCCCGAGCACCGCCAGGAGTGATTCCTGAGTGCAGAGCAGAAAGTAACCCTTGTGCATCGCCGGGTGTGACCCAAAAAGCAATAATAAATAAATAAGAGAGTTGTGTTTTAAAAAAAAATGGAACTTGGTTCATTTAAAATTTGTAGCTCAAGGGCTGGAGTGATAGCACAGCAGGTAAGGCATTTGCCTTGCACTCAGCCAACCCGGGTTTGATTCCCAGTATCCCAAATGGTTCCCTGAGCACTGCCAGGAGTAATTCCTGAGTGCAGAGCCAGGAGTAACCCCTGTGCATTGCCGGGTGTGACCCAAAAAGCAAAAAAATAAAATAAAATTTGTAGCTCAGGTCGGAGTGATAGTATAGTAAGCCACTTGCTTCACATGCAGCTGACCCGGCTTCAACAGCTGGCACTCCATATTGCTCCCCAAGCACTGTCGGGAGTCATCCCTAAGTGCAGAACCGGGAGTAAGCACTGAGCACCATGGATTGTGGCCCTGAAACAAAAGGAAAACCAAAAACTTGTGGCTTCGCGCCAGAGAAACAGTCCAGGGATTAAGGCATCGCCCTTGCATGCAGCTAGTTCCATTTCTATTCCTGACACCAAATATGGTCCTTTGAGCACCCTAAGAGTGGCTACTGAGTACAGAGCCAGAAGTGGCCCGTAACAACTGCCATGTGTGGCCCAAAAAGAAAAGTAAAAAGATTGTGAGTCATTTTTTTTGTGATGCTATAATGACCAAAGCCTTTTCCACACCTTTCAGGGAAGTGTAACAGCGATGACGGTGTTTTTTCCTTTGGATACAGCTCGTCTTCGACTTCAAGGTGAGTATTCTTTGTTGTTGTCATATTCCTGTTCATTTGGTGTCGGGAAGCAAACATATGCCTCTAGTAAGTTATAAATCAGTGTAAGAATATTCTTTTGGGGGTTAAAGGGTAAAGGGGTTAATGTGCTTGCTTTGCATGCAGACTATCCTTCTTCAATCCCTGGCACCACTGGAAGTAACCAAACACAGAGCCAGGAGTAGCCCCTGAGTACTATTGAGTGTGGCCCATGCCCCTCCCCCAATAAAAGAATACCTTGGGAGGTATTTTTGTTTGAATATTCTGTTTGATTTAAGTTCACTGCTATGCATTTCTCTGACTTTAAATGCTGCCAATCATTGCTGTTTCCTAATTAGGGAGAAACCTACGTGAATTAGTCAGATCCTTACTTACATTTTTTTTCTTTTTGGGTAACACCCAGCAATGCTCAGGGGTTACTTCTGGCTCTGCACTCAGGAGTTACTCCTGGTGGTGCTTGGGGGGACCCTATGGGATGCTGGGGATTGGACTCAGGTTGGCTGTGTGCAAGGCAAATGCCCTCCCCACTGTGTTACTGCTCCAGCCCTCCTTAGTTACTTTCTCAAAACTTCCACTTACTCTTGTGTAGTTGCTCCTTTCCTTCATTTCCACATTTTTATATCTTCTAAATGTTCTACAGATGCACTGTCCTCCCATTGTTCAGCGATTTGCTCGAGCAGGCCCAGTAACTTGTTGTTACTGTGTTTGGCATATCGAATACGTCACAGATAGCTTGCCAGGAATTTGAATTTAATTGAGGTTGTTCCGTTTTTATTGTCAGTGCCAATAAAGACCAAGATCATCATCCTTTTGAGACTTCTTTTGGGGTTTTGGGTCATCCCCAACTGTGCTCAGGGTTTATTCTCAGCTCCATATTCAGTGATTACTCTCAAGTGTGAGGGGGCACTTTGTGGTACCAAGGATTGAACCCAGGCCTCCTGCAGACAAAGCGTACACTCAGCCTGTTGTGCTCTTGTCTCTCTGGCCCAGCATCTTTTACGTAATATAGCAGCTGGAACACTAAGTAAACCTTCAGAAACAAGGATTCTTTTTTCTTGTTTGTTTTGTTGTCTGCTTTTCTTAATGGGCTCCCTGCCAGCAGTACTGGGGGAGAACCCCATGGGGAAATTAGGTATTGAATTAAAATGTATTATGGATCATGGAAAAAAACACATGAAACTCAAGGAATCTGCTGTTAGGAATTGTAACACAGGAGCATCTTCCAGTTTTTAAGTGAACAAGGAAAACTGAAAATGAAGTAGGAGATGGCTTAGATAAGATAAATTGCTTGCTTATGCTGGAGTTGTTGCTGGAGTTATTTCTCAGAGAAACCTAGTTTAACTTTATATTCTTTGATCTTGTAGTTGATGAGAAAAGAAAGTCCAAAACTACTCATATGGTACTCTTGGAGATCATTAAAGAAGAAGGCCTGTAAGTACTATTTTATTCATCTCTGTTTGATTTGGAAGTTCATTAGGACTGTTAGGAGATATGGGCCTCCAAGTAGACTAATTTCCTGTCCATTCTCATAGCATTATAGTGTTATGAATCTGTAATCACCTGATTTATTAGTATACTATTGTTTCTATTTTCTTGAAGTTCTGTAGTTGGTTGTTTTGGTTTTTTGATTACAGAGTTATCTTTATGCATAGTATATCTAAGAAAGTAAAAGTTGTTTGGTTTAAGACTGGAAAGACCGATGAGTGAATGCTTTGCATGCAGGAGGCCTCAGTTTGATCCCTGGCACCTGAGCACTGAGCCAGGAGCAGTCTTTAGCTCGGTTGGGTGTGGCCCAGAAACCAAAAAAGGCTGTTTGGTTAATTCCTATCAGATGCATTAATGTAGATCCCCATTTTTATAACGTAATGACCCCCTGGGGGCCCGCAGGATATTCCAAGGAGGACTGTCAAATAAATAAATGGAGACCATAGTACAAAACTAGGAGACCAATTGTTAGAACATTCACAGAAAGGTAACAAAGAAGGGGGGCACAGTTAGAAAAAGTTTCAAAACACTGATATAGATATCTCTTTGTTTCTACTTTTATTTTGGAAAATATTTCAAGTTTAGTAAGGTTATAAAATTACTAGTACAGAGAGTATCAGTTTATGCATTGTACAGATTCATCCAATATTAATACTTTTTCTCGTTTATTTTACTATTTTTTCATCAATGTCTCTCTTTTCCCTGTTTTCTTTATCACATGCACACTATATCATATGCAATTTATTTCAGAACTCCTGGAGCATAAATTACATACTGTACATTAAATCTCTTTACCTTATAACAGTGATTCTTGAAAAGAACATAGTAGTCATCGTCTTTTTCTAAAATAGAATGTTTCTCATTTTAAGATGCCTATGTTCCTTCATTATTAGGTTAAGGTTATGCATTCTTTTTAATCTATTTACTTACATTTTTGCTGTTGTTGTGGGGCCACAACCAATAGCACTCGGTGCTTGGGTGCCATGCAGTACCTAAGACACTATGAGCCATATCCCTGGCATATTCTGTGGGTTGTTGAATATGGATACTGTATTTTTCTCAGGGTATCCATCTGGAGCTCCATATGGACTTGACCCCAGTCTTAACTAAATGTGGTGGGTTTTTTTTTTTTTTTTTGCTTTTGTTTTGGTTTTTTTTTGAGGGGGGAACCACACTGGCAATGCTCAGGTGTGATTCCTTGTTCTGCACTCAGGAATTAGTCCTCATAACCTTATGGAATGTCAGGGATCAAACCTGGGTCAGCCTAGTGCAAGGCAAGCACCCTACCCAGTACTATCTCTTTTGCCCCGATATCTTTTTTAAACTCACTTCATTTAATTGTTCTTGTCCTGTAATAAAATGTGAATGAAGCTGTGTCAACTAACAGCTGAGGTAAATTGTCTCTAATCTTACATAATAAAGGTAAAAGGTAAAGGCCCTCCCGTTGATCGTCGATTTACTCGAGCGGGCCCAGTAACGTCTCCATTGGAGACTTTGTTGTTACTGTGTTTGGCATATCGAATACGTCACGGGGAGCTTGCCAGGCTCTGCCGGGCGGGCGAGATACTCTCAGTAGCTTGCCGGGCTCTCCGAGAGGGGCGGAGGAATCAAACTCGGGTCGGCCATGTTAGCTGCCTGCAAGGCAAACGCCCTACCGCTGTGCTATCGCTCCAGCCCATAATAATAATAATAATAATAATAATAATAATAATCTTACATAATAATGTTATTAAAGAAAACCAAGAGAGAAATTCACTAAATCAGTCTTTAAATGCATGTTGTTTCTTTGGTGCCGTTAATGCTAGAAACTATATTTTGCCTTGGGCATCCTTCAGATGATAAGGTATGTGTGCAGTTCGGGGCATTTTATAGTGTAGCAATGAGACTTTGTAAATGTTGATAAGCCTAGAACCTTCTCTGCACATTTCTAGTGGCTTTTGTCCATCGTCTTTCTTTTTCTTTTTCTTTTTTTTTTTTTTTATGTAGGAGTACTGCTATTCATTCATCATCTTATTTTTCTTATTGTGTTTTTCCCTTAGCCTGGCACCATATCGTGGGTGGTTTCCAGTTATCTCCAGCCTCTGCTGCTCCAATTTTGTCTATTTCTACACTTTTAATAGCCTCAAAACAGTCTGGGTGAAAGGCCAGCGTTCTTCTACCGGAAAAGACCTGGTAGTTGGATTTGTTGCAGGTAACAAAAATCTGAATAGCTCAAGTCCATGTTCTCCCTTGTATGTGTATCTCTCTTGCTTGTCTCTTTTTGCCTGGTTATTTCCTCTCTGGAGAAGCCTGCCTTCTCTCTTGAACAAAAGTTTCTCTTCTTTCTCTCTTCTCACATCTTTCTTTGCAAGTGGCATTTGATAAAAACTGCCTTGCTTCACTTACATATATTTTGTATTGTTGTTATTGTTTTTGTTTTGGGGCCACACCCAGTGATGCTCAAGGGTTACTCCTGGCTTTGGGCTCAGGGATCACTCGGGCGGTGCGTGGGGGACCATATGGAATGCCTGGGATTGAACCCAGGTCAGCCAGAGGCAAGGAATACACTACCCACTGTACTATTCCTCCGACCCTGTTTTTATATTTTAATATTTGTTTTGCGGTTAATATATCTTGAAAGAGTTTATTTTAACTCAATAAAGCTGCAAATCATGTAGTGACACACACTTTAGCTTTGTAAGTTTACTGCACCAAGTTTACCATTTTTGGACCAGAGAGTTCAGTGGGCTAGAAAAGGAGACCTGAGTTTGATTTTTGGCACTTCATGGCCCCCTGACCACCACCAGAAATGAACCCTGAGCATTGCCACATTTAACCCCATCCCAGTGCACAAAGAAATATGCCATCTTCATCTGTACATTTTGATAGTTTTTTTTTTTTTTTTTTGCCAGACCCAGTGGTCCTCCGGGCCTCCCTTACTTCTGGCACTGAGCTCAGGAATTATTCCTGATTTTGGGAACCATTGCCAGGGATTGAAACCAGTTTGGCACATGCCAGGCAAGCACCCTGCCTGCTATACAATTGCTCAGACCCCCAGAGTTAAATTCGTTTTTGGGCCATAAGCGTTTGTGCTCAGGGGTTACTCCTGATTCTGTGCTCAGGGATAGCTTCGGCCAGGGACCATATGGGGTGCTGCGGATCAAACCCAGATCATTTGTGTGCAAGGCAAATAAATGCCCTTTCTGCTGTACTATCACTCTGGCACCATCCCAGAGTTAATTTTTATATATGAATCAAGTTTTATTTTTTTTCGTACGGATGTCTAGGTTTTCTGTCACTCCTTATTGATGAGAATATTCTTCTCCCATTTTGTGTTTTTGATGCCTTTGGAAGATCAGTTGATCATATATGTGAAAGTTTATTTTCCTTTTTCTCTTTAATTTTACTTTTTATTTCATTTTTTAAAAATTTATTTCTGGGGGTCAGAGCGGCAGCATAGCGGGTAGGGTGTTTGCCTTGCACGTGGCTCACCCAGGTTCGATTCCCAGCATCCCATATAGTCCCCTGAGCACCACCAGGAGTAATTCCTGGGTACAGAGCCAGGAGTAAACCTTGTGCCTCGCCAGATGTGACCCCCAAAAAGCAAAGAACCATAGAACAGCGAGTAGGGCCTTTTTTCCTTGCATGCAGCAAGCCCAGGTTTGATACCCGGAATCCCATATAGTTCCCCAAGCACTACTAGGAGTAATCCCTGAACGCAAAGCCAGGAGTAACCCAAGAGTACCGCCAGGTATGGCCCTAAATCCCAAAACATACATGTATATAAAGTGGTAGAGTACATGCTTTGCATGTTTGAAACCCAGCACTGTTGGTTGTTGCCTAAATACATATATACATGCATACATGCATACATACATACATACTTACATTTCCTGCCCTTATACCACACATCTGGTATGGTAGCTCTCTTTCTCTTCTGTATCAAGTTGCATTTCGTGTTGGGGAGCCACATGATAGGATTTGTGTCTTTGTTCTGCCACTTCTTATTTTGGGGCCACACCTTGGCCCAACCATTTTAAATGGTTTAAAGGGGAGGGGAAAGGGAAGACAAAGTACAGTGGGTAAGGTACTTGCCTTACATGTGGCCATCCTGGTTTGATTTCCAGCACATTTGGTCCCCCAGCATCACCAGGAGTGATCCCCGAGCACAAAGCCAGGAGTAAGCCCTGGTGTTGGGTCACACTACCAGGAGTGAACCCCCCCAAAAAATAGAATCATTTGAGTGAGAAGAACATTTTTCTGTCCTTTAGTATATATGTTGTTAGTGTTTCCATCTGAGAAATGAAGAAATAGCCATAGCTGGGAATAGAGTAATTTACATAGGCTTATAAGCAGGCAGCATTTTTTATTCTTCAGCCATAAGCATCATGCATGAGTAAGCCTTGCTTTTCTTCTCCAGAATGTTATTTTTTGTTTGATTAAGAAGATTGCAAACTTCAGTTTTTGATTCTCAAGTATTTTGAGTATCTTTTCTCAGAACTCATAAAAGTGGTTAAGAAATAGTGGTTTAAAAAATTATGTGTCCATCCATTTTGGCTTAGAAGATGAAAAAAGTACTTGAGTTGCTCATATAAAAAGCTTTGAAATACAAAATGTTTTTACAAGGACATCATGTTTTTTCTTTAAATGATGTAGTACATTTTGTACTTGAGATTGTCTTTCGAATCCTGAGTGTTTTAGCTTGTGTTAATGGGACATGAAAACAGAATCTTATCTTAAATTATTTATTATCTAGGAAGTTTTGATTTTGAAATAATTTTTTTCTTGGTTTTTGGGCTACATCTGACTCTGCTCTAGGCTTAACCCTTATTCTGTCCTCAGGATCCGCTTCTGGCAGGGCTCAGGGGAAAATATATGGTACTAGGAATAGAACCAGGGTCAGCTGCATGCAAGGTGAATGCCCTACCTGTTGTACTATCTCTTCAACCCCATTGATTTCTAAATGACTTAGTTACTAGGCAGTCTGTATCATTTATTTATATAGAATGTGCCTCCGTCCTCCAAGTCTGAGTACAGTGGAGAGCTCAGTAGCACTTTCTAATCTTTTTTTTTAGGTGAGCTATTAATTTTTCTGTAATGTGTACACTAGTGGGAATACATTAAAACATCTGGGCAAATGATCACGTATTGATATCTTGTTTCATGAGCACACGTGCTTTTTAAAAAAGGAAACGAATTTTTGGATAAAACTATTGTAGATTATGATCAGTCCCTCAAGCTTTAATGTAAGAATAAATTAAGTTGTAACTAAACATGCGTTCATGTTATTACATAAGTCAATAAAAATATAACACTTCATAAAATGACTTTACTCTTTCACCAAGTTTATTCTTGGGTAGGCAATATTTTTTGTAGTGTATTTTGAAATTCTATGGATCCAAGCTTTCTTTCTCTTATGTGTTTAAATAGTTTCAGTAAAAAGATTTTTCTTAGGATTGTCTCTTGGTTTTTCACCTAGAGGTCAGTATCTCAGTGTTTGGTTGTTTGCTAAGTTTGTTCATGGGTTCATTTGTCTGTTATTTATTGAATAAATATTTATAAAGTAGATGGTACTATGTAGCTATCCAGTTCTTCAATTATTTTAATAATTATTTAACAAAATAAAAATAATTATTAAATTATTTAATAAAATTATTTTAATAATCTTTTCAAGACTGATCAGGAATAGTTGAATGTCTCAAGATATTGATTCGAGATCATGTGTGATCAGAAAAGAAATATCTGACTCATATTGTTCCTTTCAAAGGCAGCCTTTGGGGGGGGGCTAAGATCCCCATCCTTTATTTGGGGGGGGGCACACATGGTGGTGCTCAGGACTTGTGCCTGACTCTGCTCAGGGATCACTTTGGGGGAGCTTGGAGGACTATTGGGGTGTTGGGGATTTAATCCAGGTCAGCCACATGCAAGGCAAGCATCCTACCGCTATAGTATCTCAACTACTCCTGGTCCCCATTCTTAAGTCTGTAAGAATCATGATGTTTGTGAAACTATTTCAGATGGTTTTATTGCCTTTTTTTTTTTTTTTGTGGGGAAGGAGTTTGGTACTCAATGTGGGAGGTATCTGGGATAAGCTTCATATAGGCAAAGCATACACTCTACTACTGGGCTACATCCCTGGCTCTGAGACATCAGGGTCTTGTTGTTTGATTTTAGGTTGGTTCCATGGATCCAACCCTGGGCCTCATAAATGTAGAGCATACACTTCTGCCACGTAGATACCTTGTTGAATCTGTTTCCGGTGTTCTGTGGAACCGCTGCTTACTCCCTGCTTATCTTAATTCCTTAAGTGATGAGGAACCCCTAGACCACAATGAAACATTTTCAGATGTCACCACTTTGTCCTGTCTGTCACCTTTTGTACCAGAGCCATACTGTCATAAAACCATGTGAGCTGATATATAATAGTTGTAAGCTGTTTTTTTGTTGTTGTTGTTTGTTTTTAATCTGATCTTAGTATGTGATCAGTTGCTAAGGCCGCTTCTTACTTAGAGCTGTTCCTTGGAAATTATCTTTGAAATTGTATCAAAATTGCTACACTTTTGGTTTCGTTTGGTTTGCTTTTTTGGCACACCTGGTGATGCTTAGGGATTACTCCTAGTTCTACACTCAGTGGGACCATATGGGATGCCAGGGATCGAATCTGGGTTGACTGCAGGTAAGGCAAGAACTCTATGCCTACTGTACTCTTTCTCAGGCCCCCCAAATTACCTTGAGTACTTTATAAATTAAGAAGTGGAGTGCCTTCTGCTGAGGAATGAGGAGACCCATTACTCTTCATGTGGAGTCATGGTGTTGCCAGCCCTTTTGGTGTCTATCAGCAAGGCTTCTGAATTGACTCTAACAGTAATGTCTTGTGTTGTACTCTGCTGGCACAAAGAGACACCTCAGCTTAATTCTCCCAGATCAGTGGCAGAGGAGATTTAACATATGAAAGCTTAAAAAGTTCCATTTTGCTTTCCCCTCATCTCCTCTCTTTCTGTTTAAAGGAGTGGTGAATGTTTTGTTGACAACTCCACTCTGGGTGGTAAACACCAGGCTGAAGCTGCAAGGAGCAAAATTTAGGAATGAAGACATTGTACCAACCAACTACAAAGGTATTATTGGTAAGTGTCTCTTGGGTGAGTCCTATTGTAAAGCTTTGCTTTTTTTCTTTTATTTGGGATTTATTGCCACAGTAAATTTCATAACAGAAAACCCAAATATCAGTGTCTAACAGTAAATATTTATTTTGTTTTTGTTTGGGGGCCATACCCAGCTAATGCTCTGGGGTTACTCCTGGCTTTGCACTCAGGAATTGTTCCTGGCAATGCTCAGGGGACCATATGGGGTGCTGGGGATTGAACTAGGTCACTGTGTACAAGGCAAAAGCACCTGACCTATTGTGCTCACTTGTTTTATTTTTTTGGGGGGAGGGAACAATAAACAATAAGCAAACTCACGGTTGACTTGTTTTATTTATTTTTGGGGGGAGGGAACAATAAGCATTTATTAGCTCATGTGTCTCTGTCTTACCTAGGTTGACCCCAGCCAGGGAATCTTAGTTCCTCCCAGTGTCTCTCCTTTTCCTGGGACCAGCCTGATCATTTATTTCTGTGACAGCAAAAGCCTAAGAGGAAGCTCTGATTTGTACACCTATATATCAAGCCCTTGTTTACATCTTTTTTTTTTCCAGTGCTGGAATTAAATCCAACACCACACACATTTGAGGAGTGCACTCTGCCTCTATGCCACTTTCCTGGCCCCCTGTTTATATCTTATTTGTGAGGCCCACTGTCCACTAACCACCTCTTGACTAAATCACATGTCAAGTGGTAGAGTAGTACATTTATGAAGTATATCATGGATGTAGCTGGAAATGAATGGTCTACTATGCTTGTTTGTTTTTTGTTTTTTTTTGTTTTTTTTGCTTTTTAGGTCCCACCACCCGGCAATGCTCAGGAGTTACTCCTGGCTTTGCACTCAGGAATCACTCCTGGTGGTGGTTGGGGGACCATGTGGGATGCTGGGAATCGAACCTGGGTCAGCCACGTGCAAGGCAAACGCCCTACCCGCAGTGCTATTGCTCCAGCCCCAATATGCTTGTTTTTAAAGGGTTTTTGGGTAAAGATACTAGATTGGGGCTGGAGCGATAGCAAAGCAGGTAGGGCGTTTGCCTTGCACATGGTCGACCCAGGTTCGATTCCCAGTATCCCATATGGTCCCCCAAGCACCACCAGGAGCAATTTCTGAGTGCATGAGCCAGGAGTAATCCCTGTGCATCGCTGGGTGTGACCCAAAAGGGAAATAAAAAAAGATTAACTAGATTGGGGCTAGAGCGATAATACCGTAGGCAGGGCATTCACCTTGTGTATGGCTGACCTGGGTTTGATCCCTGGCACCCCATATGGTCCCCTGAGCCCTTCCAGGAGTGATCCTGAGTGCAGAGCCAGGAGTAAGCCCTGAGCACCATTAGGTGTGGCACACACAAAAGATATTAGATTTGTTTTTGACAATTCTGCCTCTGCTTTTTTAGTAGTACCACACTGCAGAGTCTCCTTTTATGTGCTTCTATCTTTGTAATGAGAATAGTGATTTTCTTACAAAGTGTACTCTAGGGATTGTCTTAATTGATTTGTTGTATTAAACTGATTTGTTGCCAAATATGGGGGCTATCAGTTGACAATTTTTGGTAATACAGAACTCCCAGTGGGGGTGATAACTGTTTAGGAAATCTTGAAATTCTAATCCTAGATTGTTAGAAATGAGTTACCAAGGATAGAAACTGATCTCTATGATAACTTGGTGCTTTCACTGTCTGATGTTCATCAAGAAGTAGCTAACTGATGAGTTTGCCCCTAAAATATCATTGCAGGGAACAGGGATGGTAGTGCACATACCTGGCATGGTCCACAGTCCACCTCAGTCATCACTGAGAGTGGCCCAGCTGGTCCCTATCCAGCATCACTGGACTAAAAAAAAAACGAGTAAAATATTACAGGAAGGAAATCTTGATAGAAACAGTGTGCTTTGTGTTGAGTATATTTGAACAGAATTGACGTGGCTTTCTCTAGTTAGAGGACTGTCATCAGATTATCCTCTATTTCTTGCTTAGATGCTTTTCACCAGATCATTCGAGATGAAGGAATCTTGGCCTTGTGGAATGGCACGTTTCCCTCCTTGCTTTTGGTCTTCAATCCTGCCATCCAATTCATGTTCTATGAAGGTTTAAAGCGGCAGATTTTAAAGAAACGAACGAAGGTAATTACCAATTTTGATGACCACAGTAATAGTAAATAGTAATCTCTAATACTGCTTGTTATTTGGATTGACATGGTCGAGTATTTCCTTGTTTTCCAGCTCTCGTCTATGGATGTGTTCGTCATAGGTGCAATAGCCAAAGCAATTGCTACCACGGCCACCTACCCTATGCAGACAGTGCAGTCGATTCTGAGGGTGAGTGCTGGGATTCTTCCTGCTTTTAGTCAGGCGCATTTAAAAAATATGTAGGGGCCGGAGTGATAGTACAGTGGGTAGGGTGTTTGCCTTGCACACTGCCGACCTGAGTTCAATCCCTGGCATCCCATATGGTCCCTCAAGCACCACCAGGAGTAATTCCTGAATGTAGAGCCAGGTCTAGCCCCTGAGCATCACTGGGTGTTACCCCAAAAAGCAAAAAAAAAAAAAGTAGTTTCTCTGTTTGTTTTTTGTTGTTTTGGGGTCACACCCTGTGGTGCTCAGGTCTTACTTCCTGCTCTGTCCTCAGGAGGTCTGACTCCTGACTCCTGTCTCCAGCAGAGCTCAAGATCTACTCACAAGCACCTATGCAGTGCCAGGCATTGAATGGGGGTTGGCGAATCATTCAGTGTTGGTTGTATGCCTGGCCATCCCGTGTCTTTGACTAAAGGTGGAGGAAGATTCACTGAGAACCTTATGAAAATTAAATTTTCTTCCTTCTCTTTCAAGTTTATTTGTTTTATGCTCAGAGTAGGTTATCCTTTGCAAAACCATAGGTTGATTCCTTTAAGACGTCTGGGAAAAATTAATGACCTAACTTCTGAAGTACACTTGAATTTGTTCCCCCAACCCCCATTGATTAAGTTATTTGCTCACATTTATTATGCATCCATACTCTGAGAAACTGGGCATACATGGTCACTGGCACAGTCAGAACCTCTGTACACCTCAAGGCAAGTATGAATAGCTAAATAAGCAAAAATAAATATGTACGGACAGATTGAGAAAAGAGCTATCAAGGAAGCATTCCTTGATAACATGGAGAGAGATTTAACTGCAGATGGATTCCTCTGAGAGTGCATGTGTGAATCAAAACTTAAAGGGAAATAACGATCCAGCCATGCAGAGAGAGGAGGAAAGAGTTATCCAGAGCCAGGACACATTATGTGCTTGTGTGACTCCTCCATACTGAAAGCTTGAAGAGCTTTCAAATGTGAAGAGCTGGGTGAATTCTCGGAATTGAAAGCAGGGCTGGAGAGTGGCTCAGGAAGAACAGGGACAGATTGAATTTACAGCAGGGAAGCTAAAGGGGAGAACCAGATTTTTTTCATCACATGGGAAGACTTTTTTTTAATTTAAATTTTATTTTCCCCTTATACTTATATATAAAGTAAACATCCAATATTCCAACACCAATCCCACCACCATTATACTTTTCCGCCATCATTATTTCCAATTTTCCCAATCACCCCTTCAGGCTACCTCCATAGCAGGTCCTCAATGATTTATTTTCTGTTTCTTGTTATAAATAATTTTCTTAAAGAACGTTTAAGATCAAAAAACGTTTCCTTAGAAGAAAGTTAGTGTAGGGGCTGGAGCATGCCTTGCATGCGACTGATCCCAGTTCAATCCCCGGCATCCCATATGGTCCCCTGAGCAATGCCAGGAGTAATTCCTGGGTGTAGAGCAAAGAAACCCCTGAGCATGTGACCCAAAAAGCCAAAAAAAAAGAAAAGAAAAAAGAAAGTAAACATTATTATATCTCATCATGGAGCCATTAAGTTCTTGTATAAGAGATTACTAAAACGTTGTTACAGGTTAAGCCTTCTGTGTTTATGTTTTGTTAGTCAAGATCGGTTTCATTTTACATTACATCCCATCCAATCTAGTGTGCTACTCCTTGTTTATCAGTGGTATTATCCGAGTTTGGGATGTCGTGCAGCCGTATGCTTCAGGAATTCAAAAATGTTGGATGGGGTGATGCATGAACTAGCTCTTTAATCCCTGTTACTTTGTTGTTAATTTAGTTTTGGAGCCACACCTGCTGAGGATCTGAGGCTACTTCCAAAGATGTTCTGGGGTCCATGCATCCCAGGGTCAAGCCCAGGCCTCCCAAATACAAAGGATATGCACTAGCCCTATGAGCTATGTTCCTAGCCCCTGATTATTATTTTTTGAGTTAAAATTTTCTTCACGATTCTCAATAAAATAAAAATGTCCATGCTTACTCCATTTAAAAAATATTTATTTCAAAAAAAAAAGAGAAGTATTTATTTCTACTTACTAAAATTGTGTAAGGGTGGCATAGTATCTCAATGTTCTCAATGGACTGAGAACATGCTGTGCATGCAGGAGACCCTGGTTGATCCCCAGTCTTACATGGTCCTCTGCTCACTGCTGGGAGAGACTCCTAACTAGAGAGAGGTGTGCCCTAAGCACTGCTAGATATAGTTACAATGCCCTTCCCTCAGTATTTTTTGTTTATTTTTTGGGGCCATGCCCATTGGTTAGAAGCCACAATCTGGCTTTGTACTCAGGGACCACACCTGGAAGTACTCTGGGGACTGAGGTACTGGGATTCAAATCAGGGTAGACTAGGCAAGCGTCTTATCCTTTGTGCTATATGTTGAGCTTCCCAATTTTTTTCCAGAATATCAAATGATTCATAATTGTTTAAAAATTTTTAATTAACTGAAAAATTATGAAAAACATGATACTATTTGGATATTTTTATTTACTGTGTTTAATGTTGGACATTAAAAGTAAAAGTAAAGGCCCTCCCGTTGATCATCGATTTGCTCGAGCAGGCCCAGTAACGTCTCCATTGGAGACTTTGTTGTTACTGTGTCTGGCATATCGAATACTCTCGGTAGCTTGCCGGGCTCTCCGAGAGGGGCGGAGGAATCGAACTCGGGTTGGCCATGTTGGCTGCGTGCAAGGCAGACGCCCTACCCGCTGTGCTATCGCTCCAGCCCCTAATGTTGGACATTACCCAGACATAATTTCCTCTGCAGTTAGATATTAAGATAAAGAAGATGTAATTGGGGCTGGAGGGATGGCTCCATGGAGTTATGCATATGCTTTGCATGTAGGTTGGATCTCCCTGGGACTGAATTGTTCCCCAAATACCACCATGAACAAGTTCTGAGCACAGAGCTCAGAGCAGCCCCAAGCCTTGCTTGGATATGACCCAAAAGCAAAAAACCAAAAAATTCTCAGCAATAAACAGGGGTGGAGAGAGTGCTCAGTAGGCGCAGTGAATGCCTTGCAGCAAAGCAAGAGGCCTGGTTGGATCCTTGGCATCACATGGTTGTCTGAGCACTGAGCCTGGAGTGGGCCCTGAGCACCAAGAGCTGTGGGCCCAAAATAAAACAAAGCAAAATAAAATTTAAAACAGAGCAAGACATAGTAATTTCCTTTTTTCTTCATCCCCAGTTTGGACGTCACAGACTAAACCCAGAAAACAGAACACTGGGAAGTCTTCGGAATGTTCTCTATCTTCTTCATCAACGCGTAAGGTGAGCGATCATTCTGTCCTGTCTCTGAACAGCCATCTTTGTCCAAAGGTGGCTTGGATTTCCTTATTCTGTTGACTCTCTTATTATCCTGTTATAAAATAGTCAAAGGAAACAGAACCTGAGAACTAGTCTGTGGAACTGTATTTTCTATTGCAAGGAGGGTTGGGGCCAGGGTTTCAGAGGGAGAACTGAGACATGGTGAAGAGAAGCTATAAGGCCAGTAAAACCTCAAAATTTAGTTGCCTGTGACAAGACAGGTTGTAAGGTGAGAGGATTTACAAAGGAACACGAAGATATACTTTGATGGTGCTGAATGTGTTCATTCCTAGAAGTGGTGATAGTTATCATGTTGAAGTCAATTAAACTTTAATAAAGCTATAAATACATTCATACCTGGTATTTTTTCTCTCCATCCCATTCCAAGGAAGCTTTCAAAGTTAAGTGAATGGTTTCAGATTACATAAAACATGGATTTTACGTAGTCACTTTTATACAAAAGGGTTCACATAGTAATTCGGTTTTGTAGCTTGCTTTTTGTAAACATCCTTTTTTTTAAAGAAGCAAATATTTGTAATTTCTTAAATTTGTCACTTCGATATAACACTACTATAAATGGTAAGATTTCTTGTTTCTTTTCACCATATTAGGGTTCTCCCTTTGAAGCCCTCTCCCCAAATCTTCCTGCAAGAGTAACCACAGCTATGTAGACCAGTTCTTGGGTTCTGTTACCTTTGGCTATTTATTGTCCTTTGCTGTGCTTTTTTTAAATCCCACAATATGAGAGAAGTCATTCTGTATCTCTTCTTCAGGTTGACTGCAGTCAACATAATACCTTCTAGTTCAATCCCTGTTGGGGCAAATCCTGTGACTTTGTATTTTCTGGAAGCTGAGTAGTATTTCATTTTATATAATTTACATAGTTTCTTTATTCAATCATCTGTTTTTAGACACTCCAAAAATCTGAAAATATTTTTCTAGATTTCAGCTATTTTGAATATTGCTGCAATGATCATAGGATTGCAAATGTCTTTTGTGTTTTTTTTTTTGTTTGTTTGTTTTTGTTTTTGTTTTGGCTTTTTGGGTCATACCTGGCGATGCACAGGGGTTACTCCTGGCTTTGCACTCAGAAATCACTCCTGGCGGTGCTCAGGGGACCATATGGGATGCTGGGGATCGAACCTGGGTCGGCCACTGTGCTATCACTCCAGCCCCGCAAATGTCTTTTCTGAATAGAGATTTTGGGTCCTTGGGATAAATGCTCAGAAGTGGAATTTTTAGATCATTTGGAAGCTCTATTCCTAGATTTTTAGGAGTGCCTATAGTTTTCCAGAAAGTTTAAATTACTAGACAATCCATTAGCAATGAATGAGGGTTCCTTTTTCCCCCACATCCCATCAATTCTAGTTGATTTTGTTCTTTTTGATGTGTGTCAGTCTCATTGCTGTGAGGTGATATTTTATTGTTACTGTTTTGCTTTGCATTTCTCTGTTATAAGGTATGCAGAGAATATTTCATATACTTTCTGGTCATCTGTATGCCTTTGTAAACATTTTTTTTGGCACCAAAGGCAGAACCTCAAACCACATACATGCATATAAAATATATTCCTTTTTACTGAACTACATTCCAGCCCTAATTTTTTGTAGACTTATTATCACTGACAACAATTCATATCCATATATGTATCTTTTTATAATCACCTTTTTACATCTCACTTAATCACTTATCACTTAATCCCCGTTATTCATCGATTTATTCGAGCGGGTGCCAGTAACGTCTCCATTCATCCCGGTTGCGTGCTAGCGTAGCCCAATGGTATCTGTTCGTTTTAGGAACATGTAGAGCCTCAAACCGATCATTTAGGGTCTTGACGAAGAAGTCTGACCATCTTATAGGTGGGCGTCCACGTGATCTTTTGATGTCTCGTGGAATCCAATCAGTAATGGCTCTAGTCCAGCGGTTGTCTGTAAACCTCATTACATGTCCAGCCCATCTGATTTTTGATGTCTTGGCAAATGAGACAGCGTCTCTGATTCTTGAGCGTTGACGAAGATCAGAACTCCGGATTCTATCTCTCATTTGAGTGAATCGTGATATTCCAAGCATAGTTCTTTCGATTCCTCTTTGAGAGACCCGAATAGTGTTCTCATCCTGTTTTCGTAGGGTCCAGGTCTCTGAGGCATATGTTAATGCAGGAAGAATAGTGGAATCAAAGAGATGTGCTCGTAGTTGGAGGTTCTTTGTCCTTTTAGTTATTTCTTCAATGCTCTTGAAGGCATTCCAAGCCGCTCTCTTCCTCCTGCGTAACTCAGGTGCCAGGTCATTCATCATGTTGATGTCTCGACCTAAGTATATATAACTGTTGCATTCGGAGATGGTGGTTCCGTTGAGAGCGAATGGAGCGTCAGGAACAAGGCTGTTTCTCATAAACATTGTCTTCGTAAGATTCAGCTGTAGTCCAACCTTTCCACACTCACGGTCAAAGTCCGCAAGCATTTGTGCCGCTTGGCTGATGTTTGGTGTTATTAGAACGATGTCATCAGCAAAGCGGAGGTGGTGTAGTTGCCGACCATCTATCTTCACTCCCATGTTTTCCCATTCTAGTCGTCGCATGATGTTCTCGAGGGTGGCACTGAAGAGTTTTGGTGAAATGGTATCACCCTGCCGAACCCCTCTCTTGATATGGATGATTACTTCTTTGTAGAATGGTGAGATCTTGGTAGTGAATCCGCAATAGAGCTCACGAAGGATCCTGATGTATTGAGTTTGTACGCCCTGATTGGCTAGGGCTTCCATGACCGCTTCCGTCTCAACAGAATCAAAGGCCTTCTTTAAATCAATGAACGTTAGACAGAGCGGCATCTTGAACTCCCGAGATACCTCAATGAGCTTGGTTATTGTGTGGATATGGTCGATGGTACTGAATCCTTTTCGGAATCCAGCTTGTTCACATGGTTGTCCTTCATCTAGTGTTCTGCTAATCCTATTCAGGATGACTCGAGTGAATAGTTTGTAGATGACAGACAATAGGCAGATTGGGCGATAGTTGCCAATGTCGTGGATGTCTCCTTTCTTGTATAGTAGTACAGTCTTGCTGGTTTTCCATTGGGATGGAACCTTGCATTCAGACAGGTAGCGTGTGAAGAGTCGAGCTAATGTATTGATGAGTACTGATGGTAAGTTCTTCAGGTGTTCAGGTCTGATCTTGTCTGGGCCAGGTGCTTTTTGTTTCTTTACCGACGAGATGGCATGTTGGATTTCGGAAGGGAGAACATTGGGAACGACATATCCATCATGTGGTATGTGGTATGTGGGCAAGTGGATGTGGCTATTAAAGAGATCTGAGTAGAATTCATGAATAATCTTCTCCATTGCCCTTCTGGAAGATGTGATAGATCCATCATGATGTCGGAGGGCAGTCATCTTGGTTTTGTAGTTGGTGAAGGACATCTCACTGTATATAATTATATATTGACCAGTACACATATAACAGATCTTTAGTTTTTTTTCTTTAGAGAAATTGCTGAATGAACAACCCATAAATTTAGTTCTCTATACCTGAATGGTTACAAGTATAGAGAAAATTCCTTGAAGTGAAATTACTTGGTTAAGAAGTTTGAACATAGAACTTTTTTTTTTTTTGCTTTTTGGGTCACACCCGGCTATGCTCAGGGGTTACTCCTGGCTCATGCATTCAGGAATTACTCCTGGCGGTGCTCGGGGGACCATATGGGATGCTGGGAATCGAACCTGGGTCGGCCGCGTGAAAGGCAAATGCCCTACCAGCTGTGCTATCGCTCCAACCCCAAACATAGAACATTTTGATGGACTTTGTCATATTGACTCTCCAAAACTGGTGTCAGTTTTCATTTCTACAATGTTATGAGAGTTACAAAAGATTGTTAGTTAAATGTAAAGTTAATTAGGGCCAGAGAGATAGTACAGCAGGTAGGAGCTTGCCTTGCATATGGCTGACATGAATTAATTTCCTGGCATCCCATATGGTTCTCTGAGTACCACAAGGAGTGATCCCTGAGCACAGAGCCAGGAGTAACCCCTGAGCATTGCCAGGTGTGGCCCCAACTTCCCCCACCACCACCAAAGTTAAAAGTAAAATTATTGAATGAGGGCCAGAGCAATAGCACAGCGGGTAGGGTGTTTGCCTTGCACACAGCCAACCCAGGTTAGATTCCCAGCATCCCATATAGTCCGCCGAGCACCGCCAGGAGTGATTCCTGAGTGCAGAGCCAGGAGTAATCTGAGCATCGCCGGGTGTGACCCAAAAAGAAAAAAAATTATTTAATGACATTAATTAGAACTCTGTAGGATTATATAGTTTCAAATCCATGGTGCTTACACATGTTTTGTCTAGTTTGGTTATTCCTTTATTTATTTTATTTTATTTTATTTTTTTATTAGTGAAACACCATCAGGTACAGTTATAGACTTACAAATTTTTGTGCTTGGGTTTCAGTTATGCAATGAGTTTTTTCCTTTATTTTCATTTTTACAAATGGATGTGACCTCAGAACCAGGAAACAGGTTTTTTTTTGTTTTTTGTTTTCTTTTTTTTCTGTAGGAGTACTGCTATTTATTCAGCCACTGATTAGCTGATTGAATTGGGCATGAACTCCACCTTAATTTATTTATTTATTTATTTTCTTTTTATATTTATTTATTGAATCACTGTGGGAAAAGTTACTAAGCTTTCAGGTTTAAGTCTCGGTCATAGAATGAACAAACACCTTTCCCTTTACCAGTACTCATTTTTCACCACCAAGAACCCCAGTATATCCCCCCTCCCACCCCTCCAAATGCCTGTGACTCTTCTCTACATTGATTACATTTATTATTTCGACAAAAGATTCACGAACCAGGAAACAGTTTTATTTTGGTTTTTGGAGCCACCACCTAGTGGTGCCCAGGGGCGAGTCACAGCTCAGGGGCCCATGAGTTGCTCCTGGTGGCACTTGAGGGATCATATCCAGTACCAGGGATCTATGGAGCCTTCCTACATGTAAAGCACATGCTCAGTCCTTTGAGTTATCTCTCTGGTCCCAACAAACAGGTTTTGAGAAAGAAAGTGATTTCCCAGCACCAAACATGAAGGTGACCCGCAAGTTCAAAATGTATATGCGGTAGTGCTGAGGAAGTGCTATATGAACGAAGAACTCTCATTCATGCACATGACTTACTCTGCAATGAACATACCTGGCTGTCCAGTAAGATTGCCACGAATTAAATCTGACTCTGGGGTCCTTGAAATGTGGCGGGTGCTTGAGGCCAGAGCGATAGCACAGCAGGGAGGGTGTTTGCCTTTCATGCAGCCGACTGGGTTTCAATCCCTAGCATCCCATTTGATCCTCCAAGCACCGCAAGGAGTAATTCTTGAGTGCAGAGCCAGGAGGAACCCCTAAGCATCGCTTGGGTGTGACCCAAAAAGAAAAAATAATGGCTGGTGCAAAATTGAATTGTTTTGTTTTGTTTGTTACTAGCTGCTGTGGGGAGAGTAAAGTGGGGAGTAAGAATGTTTTTCATTTGACCAGGGGTGGAAGCCAGGGCCTCATGTATGCAGGGCATGTGCTCTTTAATTTTAATTGCCGCATGTGGTTAGTAACCATATTCGGCCATCAGGTTTTCCTTGTAACACCTCTTTAAACTTCAGATTTATGGAGTTCCAGTTAAAATATGCCTTGTGGGGCTGGAGCAATAGCACAGCGAGTAGGGGAGTAGCGTTTGCCTTGCACGCAGCCAACCTAGGTTCGATTCCCAGCATCCCATATGGTCCCCCGAGCACCGCCAGAAGTAATTCCTGAGTGCATGAACCAGGAGTAACTCCTGTGCATCACTGGGTGTGACCCAAAAAGCAAAAAAAAATAAAATATACCTTGGAGGGCCAGAGAGATAGTACAAGTTTAAAGCATTTGCCATGCATTCCACCCCCAGTTTGGCACCACATATGGACCCCTTGCAGTCAGGGGTCACGCCTAAGCATAGAGCCAGGAATATAGAATTGCCCCTGAAGCAAAAAAATCAAAAATAAATAGGTGTGGCCTCAAAACCAAACATAAATAATAAAATATACCCCTGGAGCGATAGCACAGCGGTAGGGCATTCGCCTTACAAGCGGCCAACATGGCCAATCCGAGTCCGATTCCTCCGCCCCTCTCGGAGAGCCCGGCAAGCTATCGAGAGTATTCGATATGCCAAACACAGTAACAACAAAGTCTCCAATGGCGACGTTACTGGGCCCGCTCGAGCAAATCGACGATCAACGGGAGGGCCTTTACCTTTATCTTTACCCCCGAGCACGACTGAGTGTGGCTCGGAAAACTACAAAAAAACTATGAAAGCATTTTATTTTGGTTTTTGTTGGTGGGGAGCTCACGGAGCTGAGATGTGTCTCTCTGCAGTGATCAGGGTGGGCCCAGCTGGGTCGCCTGAATGCAAAGCACGAACTGCAGCCCTTTGAGCTAGCTCCAGGGCCCTAAAAATGCAAATTTTCAGTCTCATCCCAGATTTAATAAATCGGAACCTGTGGATGGTTCCCAGCAATCTGTTTAACCAGGCCCCCAGGTGAGTCTAACTAAATTTGGAAATCACTGGCTTGGAAGATGCAGTGTACGGGAAGACTGAGCAGGGTAGTTTTTTAAAATTTCTGTCACTTTCTCTAGGTCGGTCGAAACTAAAGTGATCTAAACCATTTGGCATGGGGACTGTTATGTTGAAATAACAGAATTGGGAGAGCAAAACAGATCCTGAGGTTTTTCCGTTGGAGCTCAGATTTCTGTGTTGAAGCAGTTTTAGGAGATCAGGATTTGCATCTCATCGGTGGGGTATTGGCAGCATTCCACTGATTAATGATGATCTTAATAAAGACACTGTATTGGGGACCGGGAGGATAGTACAGCAGGGAGGGTGCTTGCCTGCACACAGCTGACCTGGATTCAGTCCTCGGTTTCCCCATATTCCACCATTAGAAGTGTTCCCTGAGCAGAGCTTGGAGTAAGTCCTGAGCACCGCCAGGTATGTCCCCAAAACAAAGCAAACAAAACTCATGTACACAAAGGACAAACTTTTGCAAAGAAATATGTTGCTTTTTTTTTTTAAATAGACTTAACCCTAATAAAGAAAACTTTTATTTATTCAGTTTTTTTTTCCTCATAGGCGATTTGGAATTATGGGACTCTACAAAGGCCTGGAAGCCAAACTGCTGCAGACAGTCCTCACCGCGGCCCTCATGTTCCTTGTTTACGAGAAACTGACAGCTGCCACCTTTACAGTTATGGGGCTGAAGAGGGCGCACAAGCGCTGAGGCACCACAGGCTTCTGAGTGTGGAGAGATGTCCGAGAGAGGGCGTTTCCTTCCCCTGAGGAAACGTGACTCCTCTTACTCTTGCTCTTTGCACCTTGAGTTTTAACCCTCATTGACTTGAAATACATCTGAGGGTAAATATATATAGCCAGGCAAACCCCACCACAAATTCACTGTAATGGTTGCTTGAAGTTTGTGGGTGAGGGGGAAATTGGACAGACAGTCAAAAAACTTGATCGAAAACCTGAAAATGAGTTTTATGGGGATTTATTGGTCTCCGTAAGAGAAACAGACTTTCGTTGTCATGTGTAATATTTTTCCAGTTAGTCTTTCATGAATTTACAAATTGTTCTCCTTCCATGAGTCCTCCTCCAGATTCTAGGACAAATTTAATACATGTAATTTTTCTCATATGTCTCAATCTGGGAGTTTTCCTTACTGAAAATAATATTATGACTGTGCCATAGGCACATTATTTTTGTTGAACTTTTAATCTTCTGCTTAAGGAAAGGTGTCTTCTTTAGTACACAAGCTATTTATTTTGTGGAAGAAATGAAAATTAAATTATTAATGCCTAAAAATTCTCTTACGGTGTATTTGTATGCATCATTTATTGATACTTAATGTAAAGATAAATTTGAATCAACCCTTTCAACTAGATGTAGAGCTAAATTTGTATCAACCCATACAAAACTTGAGGTTTTGAGCTAGCTGGAAAGGGCTTGGAAAAAGACTCTGCATGCAGGAGTCCTAGGTTCTGCCCCAGCACTGCATAATTCCCCGAGCACCATTGAGTGTGACCCCCAAACAAACCAAAAAACCCACAGGGAGAGGGAGCAGATACCTCTGCTCCAGTTTATACTCTGGGAGATCGTCTTGCTTTATGAACTCTAGGGAGAGACACACAGTTGGACAGTAGACCTCTGATTGAGATTATTTCTGTTTGGAAACATTTCTTAGGTCCTGCTACTCAGGCATTAGCACTGACATCACCTAGGCGCTTCCTGAACATGGCATTAGCAAGACCCCCAGGTGAGCCCCACTCACATTGAAAGTTCATGTGTGCTGGCTGGCGAGTGCATGCCTCACATGTACACATATACATGACCCATGTTCAGTCCCCAGCACTCAAAAAATAAAGCTCAAGAGACTTTAGAGCCCCAGTCCTAGTACAATCACTGGTTTTGATTACAGAAACCTAGATAAAGAATTTTTTCCCCTAAAAGGAAACAATAAACTGGGAGCCTTGTGTCATCTTTTCCCTTCACCTATTTGAATATAAAAGTAGAACTTTTATTACTTTGTAGCTGTGAATTTTGATATCCCAGATATCTCCAGCAGCAGGGAGAGAGCTCAGAGACCTGGAAACATATGCTTTGCACTGAGGGTTCCGGGTTTCATCCCCTGCACATCATAATCCCCTGAGCACCAAGGGAATAGTTAGCCCTCATCACTGCTGGCCGGAATCCAGAAACAAAAAGCAAAATCCAGCAGGAGACCCTTGACGTCAGTAGAACAGTTCTTTGAGTTGGTGTGGCTCCATTTTTGCCCCTGTAGCAAAATGACTGGTTTCTTCTTTTTAAGTCTGTAATGAAATATCAATGAAATGAAATGAAATATCAATGGACCCCAGTATTTACTTCATTTCTGAGAATGGAAATTTCTCTTTTCATAGCTACCCTCTGGTCCCTAAGGTAATTTGAAAACAAACTCTTGAGCCAGTAATAATTGAAAGATCATTGCAGTGTTCTTGAAAACAATTAGAGGAGCCCCTAATGTGGAAACCAGACTGCTTACTTTTCTGGATTTAGGCCAGAGGATTGGCCCAGTTATGACTTTCTGTTTTACTTGATGATTGTGTGGGTCTGTGACAAGACAGCGGAAAGCATGAATGTTTTGATGGCATACAAAGGAGTATGATCATAACTGCCTTTGTGTGCTTTGGTTATTGTTTTTATTATGCCTTTCACTTTGGAGTTTGAAGTTGTAACTCAGGGTATTGTGAATTGTTAGAATAATTTCCAAGTAGAATTGCATAGTTATTTTAGGTACTTATGATATGAGAATGCCTTCAGTCCTTTTTCCTCCCCTGACTTTAGAAGGGAACAATTTAGTTTTGAGGCTTTATATTCCCTTTGGAAGCTTATAGATTCACTAGATGAAACCAAGTAGTGTTTCAAGCAGCTTTGTAATCTTTGATTTATATTAAGTTATTTGAAAAAGAAAGCTGAGGTTTATACCAGGGACATGAAAATTTTTCTTTTTTGATTTTTTAATGCAGTTTCTCTAGCATGTGAGGATTGAGAACCTTAGAGATTGTCGTTAGTGTCACTGCAGTAGAAAATCCTATTTCTGTAAGTATTTAATCTGTATTTTGAAGTGGACTTAATATTCTACCCTTGCCTGTTTTGTTTTGGTTTTTTTATTTGTTTTGTTTTTTGAATTGCACCCGGTGATCCCAAGGGCTATTCCCGACTCTGCTGGGGGATTGCTTGGTGGATTGCTCCTGTTTCCCCTTATCTGTTTTACAATTAACTTTGAAATGCAGAAATACTATTTACCATAAGAGTTTAGGCATTGGGAATTAGAATCTTGAGTTTTATTCCCAGCTCTGCCACTGACTCGCACATTACATCATCTTGTGCTTCAGCTTTTTGATAAGTGGAGGTAATAATACCCATTACCCACTTCAGAGGATGTTGTGAGAGCTAATGATGCCAGTTAAATCCCTTTATGATAGTAGGAGAGGGAATGTCTGAGTGAAACTCATGGCAGTGCCTAGGTTTATGCAGCAGTTTTCCTTTTTAATCAGTATACACTTTCTTATTTTATAATCTCAGTAGCTCCGTGAAATAAGTATCAATAAATAGCAATATCCCCATTTAATTAACAAGGAAATTGGAAGAAAACTATCAAATGACGTGCCTGGTTGAAAACAGGACTAGAGTTGAGTTTCCTGCAGTCTAGTGCGTTGATTAAGAGGATGGGTTCTGGAATTAGACAGACCCAGCTTCTACTCTGGCCCAAGTCCTTAATAGCTGTGGGAACAAAGTGATAACTGAGTTGGTATAAACCTAGTTTCCTGAAAAAACAGTTAAGGAATCAGTTTCCTCAGTGTGAAATGCAGGTCTTGATAAACCTACCTCATAGCATGATTGTAATTATTGAATGAGATCATGTACTCGGACTGCTTAGAGCTAGTAAATGTTACCAACAACCGTTACTTACACCTATATTGCTTATGATGTCGGGAACTGAATCCAGCGCTCCCATATGCAAAACATGTGCTCCAGCCCTTTGAGCTATCTCCCGGCCCTTTCCTATTTTTGTTGAGACATTTGAAATGATAGAAATGTGATTACCATAGAGGTACTAAGTTTTGAACCAGACCTGGATTCAGATTTGCATTCTGTTACTAGTACTTGACCACAGACAAGTCCCTTAAGTTTTATTTTCTTTTTTGGGGCAGTGAGTTTTGGGCCACACCTGCCAGTGCTCAGGAACTATTTATTCCTGGCAGTGTGCTCTGGAATGTTCCTTTCCAGTGCTTGGGGGATCATATATGATGAACAGAGGTGGGAGTAGCCCTCAAATACTGTGAGGTATGAAAAGAGGAAGAAAGAAAAAGGAGAGGAGGGGAAGAGAGGGAGGGAAGGGAAGGAAAGGGAAATGAAAAGGGAAGGGCCAGGACACGTCTCAGTGGACTGGAGAGCATCCTTTGCACTCACTCCTGAGTTTGCTCCCCTGAGCACTGCCAAAGGGAACCCCAAGTATTCTAGGAATTACCCAGTAGCACTGCTGGTTTTGGCCTCAAAACCTAAATCAATAAAAATACAGTGAAAAAGAAATTAGAAAGATTGAGGGCAGGGTGGGTAGGAAGGGTAGGCATAGCCCTCAGCACATGTTCAGACCATGTGTTATGGTCTGTAGACAGGGCAGTTAAATATGGAATCCAGCAAATGGGGTCCAACATATGATGATGTGGAGAGGATGGAGCCGAAGAGATAGTACAGCGGGTAGGGTTCTTGCCGTGCATGTGGCATACCCAGGTTCACTCCCCAACATCTATGGTCCCTCGAGCCTCGCGAGGGAGAGTAATTCCTGATTGCAGAGCCAGGAGTAACCTCTGAGCCCTGAGCATTGTCAAAGTGCACCCTTACCCCATCTAAAAAAAAAAAGAGAAGGGGAAGAAGACTTGGTCTGGAGCAGACCCTGGGCATGGTCAGTGGGACTCCCATGCATCAAGTAATGCACTGACCAGAGTCTGTGCACAGTTAATTTGCATGCATCTTGATATCCTTACAACTGACTAGAGTAGGTTCATTCCCATTAATTACTTAGTTGAGGCTTAATTTATTGGGACAGAGACAAAAACAGGGGTTAAGGCACTTGCTTGGAATGAAGCTAAACCTGGTTTGATCCCTGAGCATGTCTGCATGTGACCCCCAAATACCACTCCCCAACACACACACACACACACACACAAACACACACACACACACACACACACACGCACGCACAAAGAAATTATCTGCCCCTGAGCAATGCAGGGCTGACGCTGGGGGCCCCAGCATAACTGAACTTGAGCAGCTCCACATTGAATAATCAGGTCAGACCAGCACAACTGTGGTCCCCAGGTCTCCTGAGTGTTGTTTAGCGAATCATTTTCCTTCTAAAAATTATTTACGGTCTTTTGAGTATATGCTTCAGATAGCCTTAAAAAATAAGCCTTTTAAGCCAGTGCTGGTTGCAAGTTCAGAGAGCATATAATTGAAGATGTGTCATTCTTGGACCAGAGAAATAGCACTTGCTTTCTAGCCCGCTGACTGGGGTTTGGTCCCCAGAATCACTTGTGGTTCCCCAACACCACTGGCACCATCCCCAAACACAGACCCAGGAGTAAGCCCTGAGCACCTCTTGTGTGGGAGTCAAAAACATTTTAAAAAAATTGATAGTCAATTATGTTTGTTTGGGGGGCCATGCCTGACAGTGCTCAGGGTCTTCTCCCATTGCTGTGCTTAGGGGTGAGCCTGGCGGTGCTCTGGGGACCATAGCCAAGAATCCAACCTGGCTTCCAATATGCAAAACGCGTCCCTCAGCTGGGCCAATCCTCTCTCTCTCTCTCTCTGGCCCCTCGTCACTTGTCCTTTCTTTTTCTTTTTCTTTTTTACCCCTTTGATTTTAGGTCCACATGCTGGCAGTCCTCCGGGGTCACTCCTGGTAGTGCTGGGGGCCATTTACAGAGCCAGGGATTGAATCTGGCTCAGCCACATGCAAGGTCCCTCTGTAGTTGTTTTATTTTTAACCCTTTAAAAAGTTGTTCGTAGGGGGCTGGAGCAGTAGCACAGTGGGTAGGGCATTTGCCTTGCACACGGCCAACCCAGGTTCAATCCCCAGCATCCCATATAGTCCCCTGAGCACCGCCAGGAGTAATTCTTGAGTGCAGAGCCAGGAGTAACCCCTGAGCATCACTGGGTGTGACCCAAAAAGCAAAAAAAAAAAAAAAATAGATATTTGTATCTTTGTTTCACTTGGAATTACCAAATGATCTATCTTAGTGGTCTCTCTATTAATTTTT